GTTAAGACAGGTAAATTGTATTTCAACCTATTTTGAAGAGCTTCCTTCTAGTTGTTAAGGCAGATAAGTTGTATTTTATCCTATTCCGAAGAGTCTCCTACTAGCTGTTAAGACAGGTAAATTGTATTTCAACCTATTTTGAAGAGCTTCCTTCTAGTTGTTAAGGCAGATAAGTTGTATTTTATCCTATTCCGAAGAGTCTCCTACTAGTTGTTAAACACATATAGGAATGGGCATTCTCAACTACATGGCTACACTACATTATATTAAGAGTACCAAACCCAACAGCGTAAGTCTGTTACACAAAAGATTTCCAAATACAGACAAAACAGACTTCACAAACAAATGCCCAATTCCTCAAGAAATAAATCCTCTTTCAAATTGCTTGTAATTGTTATACAACATTAGAGTATATCGAAGCCAGTACACCACAACTCATAATAAATAAAACTTGAAGGAATAAGATTAGGAAAATAAATGGATGTTATTGCACTCCATGTTTTATAAACGGATTGTTTGACATAAATAAATGCTAAAATGCCTGGTCTTTACCTCATCTCAAATCTAAAAGCTCAATTTACATTTTAGAGCCAACCTTTCCTGTTAAGAGAACCCTTTTTTTTCCTTAACGTATTGCAATTTCATTTTACAAGACCGTTCATCTGAAGACCATGCCGTTCAAGGATCGTGTAATTTTTTCCATTTGAATTCAAACTAGTTAATGCTTTAGCTTTCCACCTGTTAAAATCAGTGTACTTGTTTGTACACAGTGTAAGCTGTTTAGATGACTGTTCCATGTGTAATCTTTTTATCATACTTTTACGATGCTTTCTTGAGAAAAAAACTAAACTCAAGTATACACAAAAATAAAAATAACACACTCTTATTAATATTTTGTGTTTCATCTAATAAATGTTGGAGAAAATATTACAACAGTGCCTCATTCTCGCTTCTCATACGTGTAAATTTTAATACGTAGAACTGATGTATTAATACGAGGAAGGTTCCCAAATACGCGATGACTTTATATCATTACCAAACGTGTATCGATAGGACCTGTTACCCAGTAAGTATCGAGAAACGAAAAGGTTTCTTTCCGGTTATTATAATGGTTAATATTGCCCACTTGGTGAAAAGTCTAAAGTAACGTCAAGTCTTATCAGTGTGTCCTACCACATCAGTACAGTTATTATGAATGACTTTGATTGTTACAGCTAGGGTAAATATATATATATATATATATATTACGGAGATCTTAAATAATATCCAACGACGGTGAAGATTTTCAACGTTTATTGAATGTTAAGAATAATTTGTATTTAATAAATTATGTTGGGCGTATAAGAACTTGTATTCATGTCATGGCTATCTGTATGCAGTTACACTTCTTTACAGACTGATGAAGAAAAAGCGAAAGGCTTACCTGTCGTGATGCCTACCTTTGACAGAACAACAATTAGTCTCCCTAAGGCACAAATGGGATTCATTGACTACTTTATCAATGATATGTTTTCGAGTTGGGATGGTAAGAACGTAATCGTAATAATTATACCTTTTTTTTATTTCTCGAATGATTAGGTTTAGGTATAATAGTTTAGCAGGTTCGACTTGGAAGAGTGTAATTTGCCCTGAAAATTGACGTATACTAGATATCAACGTTGTTATTTAATGATGTTTAATTCGAAATACAGCACAACTATTATGATTGCTTAATAGTTTTAATCCATTTTAAGGTTTACTTTTATTAAGCTTTCTGTTTTTACACGTAAACATTTGGAGTATTAGATTCTGTATTACTGTTCACTCATGTTTTATTTTTGAATAGAGTTGTTTAAACATTTGTTTAACAACAAGTAAAAGCTTCGAATGGTCTATTCTTTCATTGGGGGAGGAGACTGTGAGTCAGACTAGTTTAGGAGAATTCCACTCCTCATCAGTGACCCTGGACACTACCACCAATGAAACTTCAGACCAAACCAAGCCTTTACAATAGTGAGGTATCGAAGAACGTAATCGTGTATTTAAGTGTTTTACACTCACAAAAAAAATAACCTGTCATTCTATATGTTTTTGTTTGTTTTAGTGCAAAGCTGCATAATGAGATACCTGCACTAAGTCTCCCTCAGGGGTCCAACCCCGAATTTTATGGTTATTGCTCGTGAAGCTTACCTCTGAGTCGCCGAATGAGATAAGAAAACAATTATACGATTATTGAAATCGAAAAAACATATGTTACGAAATATTGAAAAAATTCATGTGCCCTTCACAGTTTTGGCTTTAAAATCGTTTTAGAATATTTGACTCACTCCCCGGTGAGTCAGCGCTCACTTTATGGAATTACAACGCTAAAATCTGGAGTTCGATTTTCCGCAGTTGACAGAGCGCAGATAGCCCATTGTGTAGCTTTCTGCTAAAAAAAAATACTACTACAACTGTGTGTAAATTAGGCTAAGAACCTGATATCTGAAATAGTTTCAACTCAAAAAGAATTTTATATTTCTGTCAGTAGCCAATGTTATAAAAAATCCGACCGGAAACCTCATCCAGTCATGTGCAATGTATTTTTGATAACGTTCACTAATATATATATGTATTCAATTATGCATTATATCCTGTTGCTAACATTACCTTAGAAAGACTTACGTCCAAAAGAACTATGCTGGATCTCATAACGTTGTACGAATATGTTTTTTACTTTTAGTAGCTACATAAATGTTCTCTGCTGTATTTGAAATGCTTATTTAAATTACACGAGCTGTCAGAAAGCATCTGCACAACTATAACATTCTATCAAAACCCTGAAGCTCTGTTAAATGCAACTATGTTCTATTTTATGTAAAGTAAGACAGTTGGAACTCTTTTAAGATAGCTAGTAAAACAATAATATGCAATAGATTTAACCATTCGTAAATTTTGATATGGGTTTAAACAAATTATTTACTAATGGAACACATAATACGTAAATCATCCACTATACATCGAGAAGTAGTGCCTAGACTATCCATTATACATCAAACATGCGTGAAGTGGCTTGAAATAGCTACAACTCTTACTAAAAGCTACCTTATTTACACGAGTTTGAAGTAACTATAATAATTTGTAAACTACGTCGGTCAGACAAACAAACTCGCGTAGACGTAACTTTATTTGATAAAACTATATGTGAAGTAAACAGTAAAGTAATGTGATGTTATTTATAATAGTGTACAGATTATGAAACAGTTATGAACGTTCAGTGTATGACACGGTTTTACAAGTTGAAACAAAAACTCGCAAAAAATGAAGAATAAAGTAGCTAAAAGGTGTTTATGAAATGAACCGAAGCTTAATTATTGCAGAGTAAATGTAAAGTTGTAATGAAAGCAAATTTTGCTGAATATGCAGAAACGTCTGAACGCGTGTTCACAAAGTGATAACTATATGGTTTTTGAACGAATTGCACATGCGTATTTTAGACCTAAATAAGTCGAGAAAGCCCAAAGAAATTTAGTGTATTTAGTGTAAAGTTAGGTTTGTTAGGAAATTACATGGGGGTTAAGTGTCGTTTATGTGAAATACTTTGCAACTAAAAAAATTGAAGTTGTAATCGAAGCCAGTCGTCACGTGATGACAACGACATTGTGCCATTGTGTACCATACTCGTTGCATTAAAATGTTTGACTCAGCAAAAAACAGGTAAGGTGATTCTGAATGGAAAAGTCAATATGCAATCCGGGCTTTCCTGACAAAGGCCTTTCGAACGATATGAGATTTGTAGCGTTTGATCAAGAAATTTGCTAGAAAAGTTCCGCACAGACAAACGCAAGCGTATAATTTATATAGATTATTTCTGATGCCCCACTATGACTCAGTGGTAAGATTGGTGACTTATAAAGCTAATTACAACACAGATTGCCTACTATATAAACCATTTCTGACAAAACAATCACTAAAATAGTTAAAGTGCGAAAATGAGAATCAGCATCTGTATTAATGAATGGAGAATATTTTACTGGTATATTAACGGATTTCAAATTTAGTATAATTAATTCAAAATAACAGTGTATTGTGGAAGTTATCACGTGATAACTATTTTTTAAGATTATTAAATGTTTCTAGATTAAAGTAGATCAGAACTATTTGTTTTTTTGTGATTAAAAATATCTGAGAAATACTGACATTAAGGATATGAGATGGACTTAGCCTAGTGTGCCCGAACTATGAACCCCGAGGATTCGTAATTCGCGTTATGTTGTCGTGAAATACCGCGCTTTATTCGTTGGGGTCGTGAGTGCGCTATAAGAGTAGCATTCAAATCTCACTATTCGGCCAGACGAGAATAGCTGAAAAGTTGGCATTAGTGTTTTGATTAACTACCTTCCCTCTAATCTATCACTTCAAAGTTTCGAAAGGCTGTTCGTAAATAAGTCATAGAATAGTCAGTCATCAGTGTCGAGACCTTTCAGGTAGGTTTCATAAACAACCTTCCTATAAGTAGTGACATTTGGTGTGTGATATGTTGGGTACTGTTCATCAACAATCTTCCTATAAGTACTGACACTTGGTGTGTGATATGTTGGGTACTGTCCATAAACAACCTTCCTATAACTACTGACACTTGGTGTGTGATATGTTGGGTAAGGTTGTTTATGGACAGTCCTATAACTACTGACACTTGGTGTGTGATATGTTGGGAGCTGTCCATAAACAACCTTTCTATAAGTACTGACACTTGGTGTGTGCGATATTTTTTTTTTTTTTTGATAAAGACAGACAATATTTCTCTAAGTAGTGACATTTGTTCTGTGTCGTATTGGGTGTTGTCCATAAACAATCTTGCTGTGGGATCTGACGTTTGTTCTGTGAGATGTTGGGTGTTGTTCATAAACAATCTATCTGTAAGTGCTGACATTTGTTTTGTGAAGTGTTGGATGCTGTGCATAATCTTCCTATAAGTACTGACATTCATTGTGTGAGATGTTGGGTGCTGTTCATAAACAATCTTCCTCTAAGTACCGACATTTGTTCTGTGAGATGTTGAGTTTAAAATATTTTATATATGCACGTTATCAATAGTTGACTACTTTAACATAAATATTTCTATTTCTCTATTCTCTATAAATATAGCTTTCGGAGATTTTCCCGAACTGATTGAATACATCCAATCGAATTATACGTATTGGAAAGAACAAGATGAAGAGAACCAACAGCAAGAAGTTTCCAAAGAAGAAAGCTGAATCAGTGAGAAATTTGATAGTATTCTTCCAGTACAAAACGTTTAATATAGTGTATTTGCAAAGAACAAATACTGGTAAATTAACGTCTTGGTGAAAAAAAAACAAAATTTGCTTATACTGCGTTTCTGAATGAGTATGAAAATAAAAGAGAAATGTTCGTCGGGAGAAGAAAAAAGAGTTAGAGAGGAAGGTTTCACAATGTTTTCCTACAACCCAACTGGTTCGCTTGTTGAAAACACGAAATATCCACACATGGTTTGAGTAAAATCTATTGTTACCAATCGTTTTGGTTGCACCCCCTCTATACGTCAGCTTCTCTGCATAATACAAGCATGGGATTATAGGTATCATTGTTAAGCTCCCAGTATTGTTAAATATTTATCATTTGATTCTGTGGGTATGTCAATTACACGTAGTTTGTGCTAATGAACTTTGTATAACTTTCACGAACAGCATTTGAATGGTTTAACGTAGTACATGTTTGTTTTGTTAACATGTAATTTATGGTGCAACAAATAGGCAGTATTATTTTATGCTTGTTAAAACATATATTGGTAGACAGGTATATAGACAGTAAGTAGTACGTGAAAGTTTTCTATGGATGAAGAATATACACGTATGTAGACTTCTTACGTAAGACATGAATATTTTATGAATATTATATTATGTAAGGAAATATATTTAAAATCTACTAAGGCTATTTTTGTGAGATAAAATAGTAAATAATTGGCACTAGATAGACAAGGAATAATATAAAAGAATGAAAAAGAGAGGTAATTTGTAAATTAAGTGAACATTGAATTCGCGTAGAAAAATCTGGTTAGCTATAAAGAAGCTTGTTATTTTTTTATTGCCAGTATTCAAGTAAAGTTTCTTTATTGGCATGTCTAATTATGCTCATTTATACCTAATGCTAACTCAATGAGAATAATTTTAGTTTTAACAGCAAGAAATATAAACATTTCGTCTTCCGCATATTAAACATGTAGTATTCTTTATACGCTTTTAATTTAAAAATACAAGAATAGTTGCCAAAGTAAATCTTTATTTAAACAAATAATGATTAAAAGTTTAGTTGGGAAGTGGGAAGGAAGCCAGTATGATAAAAAAAAAATAACTATGTAAAATTGTATTCAGAAAACAAACAATAATAAACTCTCTACAATGTGACAGTAATAATAATTATTATTATCAATTGTTGTTTAAGACTCATAACTTAGGTAAATTAATACGGACTTTTCTCTACCTTAAAATACCTTTATTTGCGAGCTTTCGGCCCTCTTATCGGAGCCTTCATCGGGCAACAATGTAGTACATATGCAGTATATTGTTGCCCGATGAAGGCTCCAGTAAGAAGGCCGAAAGCTCGCAAATAAAAGTATTTTAACGTAGAGAAAAGCCCGTGTATAATTCTACAAATTATTATTATCTGTTTAACAATATGAACTTGCTTAGACATCTTCAGACGTAATATTTCAACGCTGTTTAAGTTAACTTAGATTATGTATTGTTGTGAAAACATTCTCTGGAGCCAAAAATAGATTTTTTCGTTTTGTTACAGCTATCAGCATCTATGTAAAACATCGTTCAACTAAAACTGAAATTTAATTATTTAGGCTATGAATGCATGAAGTTTGAGGATTAGAGAGAATAAATTGTCCAGGGACTGAATCTGCAATATAAAAATGTAAATATAAATTTTCCTTAAATTCATTTTATTTTATATTCTAGTGACACTTAAGCTAACTATTTTAAAATACTCGACGTCTTGTGATGACATAGCTTCAACTGTTTTTGTTCGTAATAGGTTTCATTTCTACAAAATTAGGCCTAATAAATAGCAGACACTTGAATTACCGTCTGAATAGACTTATCAATTGGCGTAATGAATTCGTGATGGGGAACACGAAGCCTAATAATAAAGAAGGCAGTTCACAAAACATTTTTATTTCAGAAACTTCTAACGTTTCAGAAGACACATATTCCATCTTTAACGAAATCTGTAAATAATATTATAATCATATTTATTAACTAATACTATGATAACTTCAATTACTAATTTACTTAAAATATTCAGTAAAGTGGTAAACGGAAGTAAGTTAAGATTATACAATGTGTTACGGAGGTAGCACAAATTACAAGTTGTATCAAGTTATATATATATCAACTATTCTTTACAAAATGCTGAGTGTTAAGTGATGTGGTTTAGAATAATGTTAGGCCTAAGAATGTTTATAAGTTATTAACAGTCGGGCGGTCTTTAACTGCCAGTAAGTTTTCAAGAAGGCCCTGTAAAATCGTTATATGAAATGTTAGACCTGTGTTTTTAACATGTGAATGAATAGCCGAGTAGCTTATTTTAATTAATGGACGGTCGGTCCTATTGGATACTCCTAAATGTTCACAGACTCCAGGTTTCAAGTGGCGTTTTCTGTTGTCGTTTTCTCCAGTGTAAGTGACCTAACATTCAATGTAGGACTACTTATACACGAGCCATGAACGTAGAAGTGTTGATATATTGAAAGACGTGTTTAATACGGAGACTTGGTACATTTATTAGTCTGAGCTGAATGAGGATAGGAGACTTTGTTAAAGAGGAGAGATGTCTTTAATTTGTAAGGTTTGTGAGCCAATGCAAGGAAGGCAGATAACGAGGGGAAATTTGGGGACGATATGCAAAGTAGCGGGTGGCTAGAAATTGTTATTTTTAGAAATTTGCGAGTACTTTTTGTTAGAACGTGAGTAGGATAGCCATTATTTAACTGTCTGACTTTCTGACAAAAATTACTCGCAAACGTGTTCCGAAACGTTCGAAGCTTCTGTAAATAAAAATCTTTTGTGTCTTGTTAACCGTCTGCATCTTTATTATCAACTGGTGTAGTTCCATTTCAGTTGTATTTATATACTCATTGCCAAACAATTAAACAAATGTATTATAAATGCTATTTACTTCAGCGTCCCAAAAGGGTTCCCAAACTTCAGTCTTAGAGAGAGATTTTACAGAATTATTTTACAACCTTTACTTAGCGACAGGATCATTTTCTTCTGTACTATACGCTTTCTTGAATGCTAAACTCGGAGAATATAGTTATAGTCGAGTGATCCGACGTAATATTATCGTTTAAGATGTTTAACTGGCGAACTCATTTTTTCTGTAAAAGAACGCTGCTATTCATTAGTCTCACTGTGTGTTTTTGGGGTTTTGTCGTAAAGTTTCTGGGGTTTTGGCGTAAATCTTTGTGGTATATGTGAATCAAAACAATCAAATCCTACCGAGTTGTTTCCTGATCAAATGCGTGTCTGTTCGCGTGCGGTTTTCACATGCGTTATAAACTCTGTAAACCTAAGCAATGAACTCACCAAAAATCGTTTATTTTTGATCCAAGGGATAATTTTTTTAAAGTGGATACTTTATTTCTACCTCGATGTTGTGCCAAACGTTTGATCAGTGTACAGTTCTTCGACATGTTGATCGGTTTTAATGTTGAATAATTATTTGTACATAGAGGATAGAAATAATAGTATAGAAATAGAGAGATTTTGGAAATAAGACGTCACTTTGAAGTGTTTTATTTACCCGTGAAGTACTTCCATTATTGAATTCTTCCATTTTGTTTTTTCACTCACTATTTTCTTCTTATTCAATTGAAACCTAAGCTCGTTTACATTATCCAAGTGCACAATTGAGTAATAGATTCTAATTTAATCTTAACGAGAGGAAATCTCTTTCTTTTTTTTTCTTTTTCGTGATTTATAAAAACTTCTATAGTTTGGAATATTTTTGTTTGTTCTTTAACAGTTGGGAAATGCAACACTCTCTTATTTAGATAAGGATTTTTTAAATTACAAAATCGTTCGAGTAAAACTTTTTTTCAACAATTGTTTTTCTATTGTTATTCGTTGTTGAGCTTCTTCTGACAGCTCTACCGTTAAGTGTACAGAAATGTTGTGTTTTAAAATTTTCATGTTCTGTAAATTGAAATAATAAATGTTCATTTACCGTTTGTACCTTTTTTATGTGCCTCTAAAACTTTTTGCACGAAACATTCATTCTTTAGTAAAAAATAACTTCAATTTAAAATCATTCTTAAAGCAAAAACCATTAAAACAATTTTGTTTAATAACGACACGTTTGTTGCTGCATCCAACCTTTAAGAATCGTTTAAAAATCTTAATAAATAAATTGAGATACATCGTGTAATTTGATTACTCGGCTACTAAAATAAGAAATAAGACTCTCGCATTTCAAATCGGTATGTATAATTTTACTGTTGTTGAGGTTCATGGTTGGTGCTAGGTAAGGGTGGTCTGGTGCAGAAAGGTTTGAATGTGTTTTTGTCGTGAACAAAAATTTGCATAAATTTCAAAAACTAATTTCTCATATGCAGCAGCTTGGTCAATTTTTCTATATATATCTATATGTGTGTGTGTGTAAAAACCTGAAAGAATGCTATAACAGTTATTAGCTGGTTCTATTTCTATCAAATCTGAAATAATATGTATATCATACGAAGCAAAATATTTCATTGGAATACTTATTGATTAATCACGTGTTTTATTTCACTTTTCTCGATTGAAATTGGTCATACAAAATCGTGACTGTCACAACAATGTAAAACCATTTCTAATTAATTAAATTTGTTTTCATTCTTCTCATATTCCTTATACTTCACATTTATAACGTACGTTTCGTAATAGATGATTGCAACCTATTTAGAACAGTTCATTAGTCCGACTAACAACATCTTGCTGCTTTATTCATGCTTGTTCATGAGTATGTTCGGTCTAGATCTGGTTGTTTAGGCAGATGAGAACAATAAGGATATCTCGAGAGTTTCGTGGAATACCCCATCTCATAAGTAAGTACTATACTGTGCAGATTTTGATTAAGTATACCCTGTCAGGCAACACTTGCTACTGAGTAGTATCCTGTAAGGGAGTAATTGGCTCTGTAAAAAGGGAAATAAAAAGAAAAACTTACCCAGTCAGAGATGATATGATGTGTGAAAAATGGCGACTGGGGACAGTCCATTGCCCGACGAGGAAGAAACGGCCAGATGATGGAGATAGTGTGCAACAAAGGTGTGAGAAATCTTCCATATGCCAGCCCCAACAATCTCCTACAAAGAAAGAGGGAAGTGAGCAGACAATGAGAGAGTTAGGTGACGAATTTGATGGGAGGATATCTGGAAACGTCAACATGCATCTGCATCCAGTGAAGAATACAGTAAACAGATAACCTCTCAGAACAATCTAGTAGAAGTAACAAAAGAAAGATCACAACTGGATAAAGAATTCCATGGAATAAAAAGACTGGATTGAGAACCACTAAAGGAAGAAGTGTGGCCAAATAACAACAGACCACATGGACAGGTCAGAAGAGACAATCAGGATTCAAATAGGAATAAAGATGAGAAATGAAAGTGAGAGATATGGGGGTGACCACACCCTCACCCTCACGTGCCACAGACGTTTTAGAGAGAAAAGCATGATCCAGATAGAGAAGGATATAGGAGCAACGGAAACGAATGTGACAAGAATTAAAGGCATATACATTAGAACGACGATGACTACAAGTGGGAAGAAGGAGGTAATAAGTTTTAAGAGGCAGATGGTATAAGGAACAGGAAACCAAAGATTCAAAGAGAAGTAGGGTAAGGGCATGGAGAACAACATTAGATCCTAGTCAAGTAGGCTAGAAGGATGGGGAGGGCGATGGAGATGAAAGGAATGAAAAAGCATAGTAAGGACTGGGGAGGTAAACATCTTATGGAAACAGAAAAACTGAAAAGTAGCCAAGAAAGCTGCTCAGTAACCAGCAATAGTGAAAATAGACAAACCCAGTTTGAAAGGCCAAATGAAAAACTCAGACAGAAAAGAAATGGAGGGATAAAAAGGTGAAAAAGATAGAGACCAGCAGTAATAAATATGCCACTTTTGCTGAGACAGGAAGAAGGCTACATGTAAAGAGAGTCCTGACTGTCATGCAAGGGACCAGACATATCCCACGTATAGAACTGGAGTGATGATATGGCTGGGTGGAAGAGAGAAGTACGAGGTTTAAGATGAAGAAGTGAGTGGGAAAATAAAAGAGGAAGAGGAGGAATTCAGAAAGCTCAGCATAGGAAACCACAATTGAATTAGCCAATAGGGTGCTACCAGAATGACCCAACAGAGAGTGTCCCAAATAAAGGAGGAGACGAATATGGGGAAGCATACAGGAAGAGATTGGACCAGTCCCAACTGAATATCTCCACTACCAGTGCTGATTGGTGCAGAACAGAAGACCGAAATAGTGGAAACTT